ATAAGAGCGAGGAGGAAGAGGAAGATGCCGCAAGATCATCCGAAGAAGGTACCTTAATGTTTCTTTGTTTTGTGTACTGTTTTGGTTGTTTGAGATGATTTGTAGGTAATGAACAAGGAACGTTTTGAATCTTGTAGTCCTGGTGTTGATTGAGCTAATCTGTTTTTGGATTAGATTTCGTGTATTGGTTGAACCAGTTCATACTTCTTCATCTTAGGGTTATGCTACACGTTTGGATAGAATCTGTTCATCCTCCTCTCTCAATCGGTTTCTTTGTAGTAGCTCAGTTGTCTCTGCAGGGCTTTATATTGTCCAAAAGTCTGTTGTCCTTGCAGGAGTCAGGGATTAAGGAGAAGGGAAGTGGCTTTGGATTTGGTATTTGGTATTTTGTAGTTGATACCCATGAGTAGGGATGATTTAGAAGGATCTTTGATGATTGAAAGTTGGCTTGTTGTGTTTGAGAGGAGTTTCTTATTGTAATTTCCTTTCGGATTCATAGGACGTTCTAAGAGTTACTCTGTCTTTGATCTTACTGTTCTATTAGCAATTTTTCATTTTTGGTACATCTTACTTAGTATTGGATTGGCTTTTGTACACGTGTAACGGCCTTAGGTCACCGCTAGTCGATATTGTCCTCTTTGGGCTTTCCCTTTCGAACTTCCGCTCAAGGTTTTTAGAACGAGTATGATAGGGAGAAGTTTCCACACCCCTTATAAAGAATGTTTCGTTCTCCTCCCCAACCGATGTGATATAGATATCACAATCCACCCCCTTCTTTCGGGTCTAGCTTCCTCGTTGGCACTTGTTCTCTTCTTCAATCGACGTGGGACCCCCCAATCCAACCCACCTTAGTATCCAACCCTCTTTAGGGTTCAACCTCCTTGTTGACACATCACCCAGTGTTTGGCTTTGATACCATTTGTAACGGCCCAAACCTACCGCTAGTAGATATTGTCCTCTTTAGGCTTTCCCTTTCGAACTTCCCCTCAAGGTTTTTATAACGCGTATGCTAGGGAGAGGCTTCCACACCCCTTATAAAGAATGTTTCGTTCTCCTCCCTAACTGATGTGGGATCTCACAATCCACCCCCTTCTTTGGGGCCCAGCTTCCTCGTTGACACTTGTTCCCTTCTCCAATCGACGTGGGATCCCCCAATCCAACCCACCTTAGTATACACCCCTCTTTAGGGTTCAACCTCCTTGCTGACACATCACTCGGTGTTTGGCTTTGATACCATTTGTAATGGCCCAAACCTACCGCTAGTAGATATTGTTCTCTTTAGACTTTTCCTTTTGGGCTTCCCCTCAAGGTTTCTAAAACGCATCGTGTAGGGAGAGGTTTTCACAACCTTTATAAAGAATGTTTTGTTCTCCTCCCCCACCGTTACGGGATCTCACAACAAGTTTATGTGATTCCTTTTGTTCAAAAGTAAAATATTTGCATTACAATAGTCAAGCTTTGTGTTCTATCTCTGATGATGTTAACATAATTCATTTGATATGTAGGAGGCCAAAGAAATCAAGTTTTTTACTGAATATGGGGATGCTAATAGGTATAAGGTACTTGAAGTTATTGGAAGGGGAAGTTACGGAGTTGTTTGTTCTGCTATTGACATGCATACTAGAGAGAAAGTTGCGATAAAGAGAATTCATGATATTTTTTATCACGCATCGGATGCTATTCGAATCCTTCGTGAAGTTAAGTTGCTTAGATTGTTACGGCATCCTGATATCGTCGACATCAAGCATATTATGCTACCACCTTCTAAAAAGGAATTTAAGGACATTTATGTGGTTTGTGAGCTTATGGAATCTGATCTTCATCAAGTTATTAAAGCAAACGACGACTTGACCCGTGAACATCATCAATTCTTTCTCTACCAAATGCTACGTGCTTTGAAATTCATGCATACAGGTCCGTTGTTTCTTTTATCGATTCCCCCCTTTTGTTTCATCTGGTTGCGGTGCTTATAGTAAAAGTCGTGTTTGCAGCGAATGTGTATCACAGAGACCTGAAGCCGAAGAATATACTGGCAAATGCCAACTGCAAGCTTAAAATTTGCGATTTCGGGCTTGCAAGAGTTGCTTTCAGTGACACTCCAACCACTGTATTTTGGACAGTATGTTCTTCATTTCACTACTGGTAAACTATTAACTTGTTTTTCAGTGTTTCTAATTGATGTTATTTGCAGGACTACGTCGCTACTAGATGGTACCGAGCTCCGGAGTTGTGTGGATCATTCTCTTCCAAGGTAGGCAGCAAACAATAATTGCTTGACATAACCGTGGGTTTGTTTATTTCGGATTCTTTCTACGTTATTGATTCTCTCAATGTTATAAGTAAATAATGCCCCCCCGACCACCATCAACGAACCAAGGAAAGGCTACGAAAGGGGGGGGGGGGGGGGGGGGGGGGGG